AAACGCATGGAATAATATCCAAAACGTTGGCTGCACACCTATAAATCCGCGAGTGGAAAAATCTACTACCGAAAATACAACACTGTCTATGGACAGTGTTAGTGAACGTTATTAGCTAGACGTCGATCAGCTGTTGTGTTGTTTGCAAATCGTGTAGTTAGCCCAACCTTGCTAAAAGAAATTTGCAAAACAGCCAATTTAGACAAAAAAACAAAAATGTAACACAGTTCAAAAGGGTTTTGACAAAAATTGATGTGACATATAAAAGGGAAATTATAATATCGATATTAGTAACAACGATAGATAACTTAGTACTGCATGTTCATTACATTAATACCTATCGAAAAATTGCTAAAATAGTCAACTTGTCCTTTGTTGCGGCTGAACAGCTGTTTGCTTCAAGTAATATAAATTTGTATGTGCTGATCAAGCCATGTGTAAAAATTTAATGTAGTACAAAACTATACTAGTGTATTATTTACTGTTTACGCTACCCATGAAAGTTTCTCTGCAATTCCACTACACAAAATGCCACTCTCTCGACCAGTGCTGTAAATCGTATGTATTGTCCCAACAGCTGTGCGACGGCGTTGTGCAACACACACGAAACCATTGAAATGGCGCGAAAATAATTTGGCGCGTCGCTGAACATTTGGAGGGAAACGGCATCGTCGTGGCCCAGTTGTAATTTGAGCAGCGGCACTGGCAAGACGTATATGGATGAAATATAATAAGAAACAAAAAGAATAAGTGAGATACCCACACATAGAAACAGACGTGCCGCCGAGTGAAATTTTCAAGACACAATATACAACAGCCCATAAGAATAGCATTTAATTCAAATAAATTCGAAATAAAATGGCCCAGCCATCGGTAGCTGCATTTTTTAGCAATCGCAAACGTGCCGCCGTAGATGATGCGACGACCATTAAGAATAGGGTAAGTGGATGCAGCATGTGATGCAATGGGCAAAACGTGGTCAAAAGTGCAAAAGATTCAAATTAATCCTAGAGATACTCCAACTGTATCTGCCTGTGCGTGTGTGTGTGTGTGTGAGAGAGTGCGTGTCGCGTCCTGCGGCCATTTTCTATTGTTAAAAGGAAGACCCTCTAACCTGTTTTTATTTTGCAGCGTCTTGCCGAGCCCGCAGAGACAGCTGCTCCACAGAGCATAGTTCGCTCCAGCTCTCACACAGATCAGGATGTGGATATCGATGCACTCAAAGGTGGCATGCGGACGCGCTCTGGCCGCACCGTTAAACTAATTGGCGTACAGACAGCCACACCAACGCAAGACAGCAAAAAGAAGACACTCAAGGCCGAGTCGAATATCAAGCAACCCAAGCTCGTACAGTTCATACGCAAGGGTAATCTCTCACCGCGCAAGCAACCGCCCCAGCAGCCGCCACAGCAGCCAGAGATTAGCAATGAACAGACGCCCAAACTCAATTTGTCCCTTGTGGCCCAACAAAATGCCGACAAGGCGGAGCGTGGCATGCGCACGCCCACCAAACAGATCATCAAAGATGCCTCGCCCGTCAAGCACCTGGAGCTGGCCAAGCGTGGTCTCACCTTCGATGAGGTCAAGACAAAGATTTCGCGCAGTGCCAAGATGCAGGAGCTGAAGGCGGTGCTGGCGCGCAAAGCACAATTGGAACAGCAACGCAAGGCGCTCGAGGAACGCAATCGGCGTCTGCGTGAGGCGGGCCCATCGCCGGCCAAGGCGACCAAGAGCCTGCAGCTGAAGGAGTTCGATACCATCGAACTGGAGGTGTTGACCAGGTGAGTGCTCCATGGCCAATTGACTGCCACAATAAAAGCCAGTTTGGCCTAGAAACGCAAAAGTAAACAAAACCATATGCAGCACACTTAGTGGCCAAAGAAAAAACCGGGTAACATCATTAACAAAAAAAAAAAAAGAGAATATATTGTTAAGGTTCTTTTTTTTTTAATAATTTATATATATACATATATATTCATATATAGCTAGTTATCGAGGTCGCATGTCTGTTGAGCTATTATTCAAGCGTCCAATTGCTGAAATTGCAGTTTCTTTGACCAAGCTGCAGCTCGGCTTCGGCTTCATGTTGTTGTTGTTGTTGCAAGCGTGACGTTGTTTGTGATCTATGTGTACTTGAATTTATGCTGCATTTGCTTACACACACACACACACAGACGCACACATGCACACTCGTACACACACATGTTTACCCTTCGCCAACATAAGTTACAATCTCTTGCCTGACCTTTCCACAACAACAACAACAACAACAACAGCAGCAATTATTATTCGGGGGTTGTTTATCTCTATGTTTCTTTCTGTTTCTCTGTTCTTCGCTTCTCTCGCCTGCATGGGAATTTGTCGGCTTCGACTCTCCCTTTTTTCAGGTAGCTCACAAATGTAACGGACTTTTCAAATGTTCTCTAGAGGGTTGCTTCATTATGGCTTCTCTGACTGCATCAGAATTTTTTGTATTACTCGATCATTATTATTTTCTGATAAGACTAACGTCTTTTTTTTTTTTTTTTTTTTTTTTTTTTTTTTTTTGCTGGGTGTACAAGTTCTTTGATCTTAAGAGTTCTATGGGAAAGTTTTTTATTGCAACCACCCAAAAATCTTGCAAGGGCTGTTTGCATATAAAACTGTACAGTTTATATGAATTGAACTAATTGCAAAAAGGGGAAATCAGATTCTATTTAAATGGATGATATTATTCATAATTTTCTCAATTTTCAAAATATGGAAATGAGTTATAAATGCTATATTTAAATGAAAAATGTGTTTCCCTGCAGCTTCTAAAATATCTTGACTTTAATCTCAAAATATAATTTATTATTGTAATATGCATTTAGAGCTACAATATAATAATTTATATATAAATTAATATGCATATATTCTATATACATTTCTTTATATTTACAAAATATAAACTCATATTTAACCGACATATTTCTCCCTCTCTCTCTCTCTCTCTCTCTTTTAGTCCCTTGAAGACATTCAAGACGCCCACCAAGGTGCAACAGCCACCGACACCGGACAAACATGAGTTGATGTCGCCACGTCACACGGACGTCTCGAAGCGTCTGCTCTTCAGTCCGGCCAAGAATGGTTCGCCAGCCAAGCTGCTGGAGCCGCCGGCCTACAAACGCTTCGCCACTCTCGCCGAGACGAGTAAAGCCGGTCAATTGCCGCTGCCCTACAAGCATCGTCATTTGCTGGAGGTGTTCAGGTGCCTCGACTCTGTGGTGGCCATGTTCCACAATCGCAAGGAGTGCATTACATTCAAGAAACTGAAGCCAGCCGTGCAGCGGATGCTGCGCAAGAATTTCACGGAAATGCATCTGGCGCAGATCAAGCATGTCTATCCAGATGCCTACATCTACTCGCAGATGAAGATGCGCAACTTTGGCTCCGTGTCGAAGGCGGACTACTTCCAGCTGGTGATCAGTCCCAATGTGGAGCAGCTGCCCGACCAGCAGCGATTGAATAAGATCAACGAGGACGATGTGCTCGCATCGGCTCAGTCGACGTCCATGAATCCGCATGTCATGACGGCGCGTGTGCAGAAATTCCAGAGCCTGCTGCTGCAGCGGGTGCTCGAGGAGCACGACAAGTTCTTGCGCTCACTGGATCCACCGATTATCGTTGATCGTGCCCTGACCCGTTGGCATCCGCAATTCGATTTGGAGAGCTGCCGCGAGGTGGAGTTGGCGCCGCTGCCCCAGCCACCGAATGTGGAGAAATACTCATCGGCCAAGGATATTTTGTCCACCGCTCGCAATCTCTTCAACTGCGCCACGCCCATGGAGCGTGTCATGGACCGGTATGAGGCAAAGCTGGAGGCGGACAAGCAACAGACAACGACCGATGCCAGCACTGAGACGACCACTGCCACGCCCACGGTTAAGGAATGTACGCCCGTGGCACCAGTTGACGCAACGTCCAATCTATTGAAAGGACTGCCCAAATCGCTCATAGACAAAATTCGTGCTAAGCAGGCGGCCAAAGCTCTGGATGCAATGACGCGACGTCCGTCACAGGATCAGGAGGCAACCAAATACTCGCGCCTGCCGGAATTGGCGCGACATCTGCGAAATGTCTTTGTCACGGAACGCAAGAGTGTTCTCACCCTAGAGATTATAATCAAGAAGATTCAGAATAGTTTCCGAGCGAATTTAACGCCTCAAGAAATTGAGACGCACCTGAAATTATTGGCCAAGGAGCTGCCCACGTGGGCAACATTCCATGAGGTGCGAAAAACCATGTACCTTAAAATTGCCAAGGATATGGATATGAATAAGATCATCGAGAAATTGGAGGAGATCGCGAATGAGAAGAGCAAATGATTACTGGAAACTTGAAGATTACGCAAAGAAATAAAAACAAAGCAATTCCCAGACCCTGTGGACTATATCCAGCTATACCATTTATATGTATGTTTAAGTACAACGCTTATCTAGGCTCAATTAAATAATTAGGCAATTCTTTTGTTATTCTTACTATTGACATAATTATTATTATTATTATCATTAACATTATTTGACCAAATTATAAAAGCAATCACATATATTTCATCACATTCAATGCATTGTAATGTTCTTAAGCCGTTTACAAAGACCCTACAATTTATTAATTAAGATACATTGTCATTGTATTAAGTCGAGTAAATAAATGTTTTTTTTCTGGCAAAGTAGTCAATTTTTTAAATCCAAATATTAAAAGACTGCATCCGTTTCAATTTTAATTTAATTGTATTTTTTAAACTTACAATTTATTGTATTCACATTTTATAATTATAAATGAACCATTAAAAGTCATTCATATAAATAATTTAATTTTTCTTAAGAAACTTCAAGCTGAGCTCTCATTTTTTAAAACAGTAAATTTAAAAAATACTCTAAGAGTGTTGCCACACTCATCAAATTTGCTTTGGTATATTTTAGTACATTGGCCATGTTTTCCTCATTTTGAAGATAGTGTGGGAGCACTTGTAGCACTTGCGCGCGCTGAACTGTTGTTTCGCATTTTAATGAGTTATTTTCTTAAATTATCGCAAACATGATTGAAAATGAGGTAGATGAAGGCATACCACAGCCTACAAGTGCTGCGTCGGGTCAAATAAAGGCCATAGCCAAGGACACTGTGCACAAGATCTGCTCGGGTCAGGTTAGCTCAAGGTGAAGTAAATGTTGGCTACAAAATTTAAATTTTTGTTCCTTAGGTGGTGCTCAGCTTGGCTGTGGCCATCAAGGAGTTGGTGGAGAATTCTATAGATGCCGGCGCCACACTAATTGAGATTAAGCTGAAAGAGCAAGGCTTGCAGGGCGTGGAAGTTTGTGATAATGGCAGCGGCGTTGAGGAATCCAATCTGGAGGGCATGAGTATGTGAATTTAAAATCTGGCTAAGATTGTGGATTGTATATATCATTCTCTAATGTCTTGCCAAATTCCAGCTGCCAAGTATCACACCTCTAAGATACGGGAATTTGTTGATCTGCTCGGCGTGGAGACATTCGGCTTTCGTGGCGAAGCTTTGAGCTCGCTCTGTGCACTCTCTGACATGACAATACAGACGCGACACAAGTCCACAAATGTGGGTGAGTACTTGGCATACCTTAAGTAATTCTTTTGCTTAGCTGCATATGATCTGTAGCTCTCAAAATTGAACTTGATCATGAGGGTCGCATCAAGAAGCGTTCGCCCTGCGCCCGCGGCGTGGGCACAACCGTCAGCCTCAGCAATCTCTTTGGCACTCTGCCTGTGCGTCGTCGTGACTTCACTCGCAATATCAAAAAGGAATTCAACAAGATGTGCCAAATACTGCAGGCCTATTGTCTAGTCACACGCAATGTGCGCATCATTTGCAGCAATCAGAGTGCAAAGGGTGCCAAATCTGTTATACTACAAACCCATGGGGCAGCCGATGTGTTGGCTAACATTTCGGCCGTATTTGGAGCACGTCAGGTCGCGGACTTGGTGCCACTCAAATCACCACTCGAGGCGGGCCAACTGAGTGAGGCGGGTTTGCGTGAGGCGCTACAAACGGCGACCGATGCAGCCGAAACGACTTGCGTGGAGTTTAATGCCGAGGATGTGGAACGGCTCAATGAGGCGGGCTTTGAGCTGGAGGGTTATATTTCCAGCTGTCGTCATGGAGCAGGTCGTTCCACACGCGATAGGCAATTCTTCTTCGTCAACTCAAGGCCCTGCGAGCCAAAGAATGTGAGACAATGGATATAAATTTTATATTTATATAGTTCCATTAATATCGACTTATACTCCCACAGATAGCCAAAGTCATGAATGACATGTATCGTCGTTACAATGTGCAGCAACAGCCTTTTATATATCTCAACATAGTAACATCCCGCGCCGAGGTCGACGTCAATTTGACGCCCGACAAGCGACAGCTGCTGCTCAACAATGAGCGGATATTGCTGCTGGCCTTGAAGAAGTCGCTGCTGGACACCTTTGGCAATCTGCCATCCACATTCCAAATGCAAAATGTTTCTATAGCCAGCATGCTGGAGCCAAAAAAGAAGACAGAGACCGCCGAAGCAGCAGCAGATGAAACTGAAACTGAAACTGCAGAGCTTGATGTGCCCATTAGCTCGTCGCAGCGGTTCATGGACGTCTTGAGTCAATGGCGACGCACAGGCGATACGAAGGGCATCGCACCGCCAGCGCCTGTTAAGCGACGCGCGGATGAAACAGCTGAGATAAATGCGCGCACTATGAAGCTGCAAAAAATACAGGATTTCCTTTCACAGGAGACGACCCAAGCGATTAGCTACAAAAGCGAATCGTCGGAGGAGGAGCAGGAGGTGCAGCAGGGCGCTGAGAAGCCACAGAAATCGCTGGACAGCAGCTTAGTCAGCTTAAAGCAGCTCAAGCAAGAGTCGCTGGGTGAGCAGCAATGAGAGTTATTGACTTTAATATAATCCTAAACCCCTTCTCCACCTAGCTTATGATGAGCTAATGCAACCTGGTAATGTGACACCGCTCAAGAGTCGATTGAGCATAGCGGAGGCTAAGCCAGCAGTTGCGTCGCCTGCTGAGAAGGAGTCGGAGGAGCAGCTGCTTGAGGTTCATGCAAAAGCTGATATTGCCAGCGAATCCTCCAAGAGAGAAGACCACTTGGAAGCTGTAATCACTTCCTCTCAGGCAACTAACGAGACCTCCTCCACCTCAGAACCCTCCACTGCCTCTCAGCCAACATCCGAGTTCTGTCAACTCCCCCCATCTCAGTCGGCCATCGAGTACAGTGATGATGAAATTGAAATGCCTAAACGCATCGAATTCGATGGCAACAGCGATTCGGATACGTCACCGCCAAACGTAGCCAGCGGCGAGCTACGCACCACATTGGAGCAAATCCGAGCCAGCTTGCAGGCGCAAGAGAAGCAGCATGTGGAGCGCAAGCGCTCGGCCAAGCTCCAGCGTTTGCGCTTCAAGAGCGAAATCAATCCGAATCAGAATAAAAATGCGGAGGCCGAGCTGCAGAAGGAAATAACCAAAGCGGATTTCAAGCGCATGCAAATCATTGGACAATTCAATCTGGGCTTCATCATTGTGAAGCTGGAGGATGATCTCTTCATAGTGGATCAGCATGCAGCCGATGAGAAATACAATTTCGAGATGCTGCAACGCAACACGCAACTGGAGCACCAGCGTCTCACCGTGCCACAGGCACTGGAGCTGACGGCTGTCAATGAAATGATATTGCAGGATCATTTGTCGGTGTTTGAAAAGAATGGATTTAAGTTTGAGATAGATGCAGAGGGTGAGCTGATATATATAATCATATAATCATATATAACTAACGAAATCTTCTCTTCCGTACAGCACCACCCACACGAAAGATACGTTTGCTGGGCAAACCCTTCAGCAAGAACTGGGAGTTTGGCAAAGAGGACATTGATGAGCTGATATTCATGCTACAGGATGCGCCAGAGGGCACAGTCTGCAGACCTTCCAGGATACGCGCCATGTTCGCCTCGAGAGCGTGTCGAAAATCTGTTATGGTTGGCAAAGCGCTCAATCGGACAACCACCATGAGGAGGCTCATCACACAGATGGGCGAAATTGAACAGCCCTGGGTGAGTATGGAGTAACAGAAGAACTCAGATTATAGACATACGAGATTATAGAGTTTATTATAAAAAGCACACTTAGACTAGACAAATGTTAAAGTGAATCAGTTTACTAGAGCACCTTGCTCCTGAAGCCATGTGAAGTCAGTTTGGCGACTACAGACACCTCTATGCCGCGCGTCTCAGGCAAATAGAATTTGGTGAGCAGAAAGAGCAGCCAGCCGAATATGGAGAAACACAGAAAGATCCAAGATCCTATGAGCGAGTGCATGACAGGAAAGAGGAAGCCAACAATGAAATTGCAGCTCCAGCCCACCTGATTGCCCAGGGAATTGGCCACCGAGCGTGAGGACACCTCAAAGAGCTCTAAAAGAGAATTGAAAACTTTCAATAAGAACCAATACCATCAAATGAAATCCCAATCCTCAACCTGAGCCTATAAAGGGTGGCATAGGACCTAGAGCCAGCTGGAAGGCAATGAGATAAAGGAATAGACAGGCGACGGTGCCGTAAATGAGCCAGGGAAGCAGATGCTGGATTCAGGAAGGAAATTAAATCAGAAATCGATTAGGGAAAGGATTACGCGTCAGCTTACTCCAAACTCGGCACACAAGCAGAAGCCAAACATGAGCAGAGCGCAACAGCTGGTGGAGATCAGCATCAGAGTGCGTCTATTGAAGCGGGCCATTAGCCAAGGACTCAACAGCGCCGTGGCCAGGTTCACATTGCCGGCGCAGAGGCTGAGCAGCTCAGCGACGCTGGCGGATGAGCCACTGTTGCGAAAGATGAGGACGGAATAGTAGAAGATCTGCGAAAAGTGTGTGAGATTGGAAGAGTACATCAATAGAGAGAGCGTGTTCCAGTGGGATTACTCACCGCGGAGCAGCCGGTCAGCTGTTGACCGCCTTGGTAGGAGCAGAACAAGATCAGCGGCATCAGCAGTTTGGGGTCCGTGAGCACATCACTTAAGCTGCGAGTGCTGTACTTGCACGCCGCCTCTTGCTCCATCGACTGCAGCTCCAGGTCCAGCCCCGAATCTCCGCCACGTAGACGCTCGAGCATCTGTAGCGCCTCCTCCTGCCGCCGCCTCACGATGAACAACCACTTGGGACTTTCGGCATAAAAACGATACGGAGCATAGCAAATAGCCATGAAGACGACGTAGAAGGACAATGCCAGATGCCAATGGTCTTCACCGCCCAGCAGCGATTCCATGCTGCAAACCTGAGCCACAACAACGCCACTGGAGTAGCCCACCGAACAGGCGGAGCCCAGGGCGCCACGCTGAGACGTTGCTGCTATCTCGGTATGATACATGGGCACGCCCGTGGTGATGAGGCCGGCGCCGAAGCCCACAATGAAGCGAGAGAGCAGCAGCAGCTCCACCGACTGCAGCCAGCGACAGCTAACGAAGCCAAGCGCGGCGAGGAGCAGCAGCGAGCCGCTGAGGAGGAAACAGCGACGACGCCCGAAACGATTGGCTGCCCAGCCGGCGCAAGCGGAGCCCAGGATGCCGCCAATCAAATAGATGGACACAATCAGCGCCCACAGCGTGTCCAGTTGACGAGGAGTCAACACCAGTTGATACCTGAGCAGGAGTGTCTCAGCACACCAGGCGCGCATGTGCTGCAAGGCAGGCGAGGATTAGACGGAGGATGGACTGGCTCCTCCTGCTTGGACTTACCACAGCCGGATTATTGATGATGGCCATGCAGTAGCCGCAGGGCACAGCGGCACCGATGGTGCTGCCCACGGTGCTCCACACGACCAATGGTGTCCATTTGGCTTTCTGCTCCATTGCGATCGTCAAGCGACACTAATCTGGCTGGGATGGTGCAGCAGACTATTTAATCACCGGCTGAACAGAAGCCGCTTAGCAGAAGCAGCTAATCCGCTCAGAATTTATTGTCGCCAACTGCAGACAGTTGGCATTAACTTTGGCGGCCCGCTGAGGGTATTTAAAATTTAGCATAGATTGTGTAACAGAGGTCTACCATCTATATTAGTTCCTGATCCTCGAGAATCATCCAGGTTGATCTAGATCTCTACATGAAATTCTGATCAATTTTTGCATGAATAGGTTTTTGAATATCTTTGCTAGCTTCAGTCAGTCAATAGAAGCAACGAACCCTAACGAACCATATCAGATCGCTCTACAGTCGTAATAGCCCTTAGGTCAATTTACAGTCATAGATAATAGATAAGTCAGCGGATTCTATCTAATCCAGATTGCTTATCTATTCCCTTACTATCTTCATTAAAGACGAGCATTATGAGCTGTAAATGAACTGATGATCATTTAAATATGAAATCTATATCACATATACTTATACATATGTATCTTTTACAGCTCGAATATTGATTGACTAAACGGTTATACATAAGTCTTTATATATGATGTAGTGCACCACTGTTAGAGATTTTCAATCGATCAGTTGCTCTATTTTGGCATATTCTAGAATATATATGTCTATCTGATTTATAAGTATAATTATCTAATAAGGGCTAATGATATCATCGTCTAGCTTATATAAATACTACGTGGGTTAATATTATTATATATAATATTATAATCTTAGCTTATCAGCTTGCTAGTTCGTATAGTTCGCTGCACATATAAACTTTGGGTCGAATCTCTTTATTAGCAAGATGAATGCAAACAGGAAAAGTTTAAGCGACTGCTTAAGAGCATATTCGGTATAGTTATCATATTAATAAAATTGAAGAAAATATATTGATTTGACTGTACTTGAATAGATGTGCCATAGATCTTCCCGGGTATACAGTTTCGGCCTCTCTGAATCTGAACTAATCTTTCGCGGTGCTTTCACTGTCTGGGTCGCTTTGATTTGAAGCCATCGGCCACAAGTGGCGCCACCTCGGATGGATCGCGGCCTCGGGTCTCTGGCACATAGCGTAGGGTGAACATGAAGACCAGCAGGCAGGCGAGTGAGAAGGGCAGGAAGACCAGAGCACCCCAAGCGCTTTGTAAGGTGGGAAAGGCCATGCCAACGATCAAATTGCAAAGCCAATAGACGACGCTGCCCAGGGACATGGCAGCGGAACGTGGCGCCACCTCAAAGAGCTCTTGGAAAGGCAAAATTCATGAGAGGATTACGACCGGAAGCGATTCAAAGGTTAACCTACCTGCGCCTATGAAGAAAGGCAATGGACCCAGCCCAAATTGAAACCCAACAATATACAGAAAGATGCAGACGATGCAGGCCATGGCAAACCAACTATAGAGATCCTGTAAAGAAAGATGGACAACATTAGGTAAAATTAGGTAATCCTCGCCCGACTTGCACTATAAATCACTCACAATAAACTGGAGTAGCATGGCAAAGAGAAACAGAAAGACGCAGCAGAAGAAGCTGGAGAAGAGCATCAGTGGACGGCGATTGAAGCGCTCCATTAGGATGGGACCCAACATGGCGGCGGCTAGATTTACGCAGCCAGCGCCGAGATTGGCAAACTCCGCCTGTTGGGAGCTCAGGCCCGCACGCCGGAATATGGAAACGGAGTAGTAGAAGATCTGTAAAGCATAAACAACAATGAATGACCCAACAACAAAGCAGAGCAACTGCAGCCACTCACCGCATTGATGCCGGACAGCTGCTGACCGCCCAGATAGATGAAGACAATGGCGAGAGGGAGACGCAGCTGGGGATTACGTAGCACCTGGGCGTAACTGCTTGGCGTGCTCTTCACCCGCGCCTCCTCCTCCATGTCGCGAAGTTCCGCCTGCAACGCTTCACTGTCTTGGGCATAGCCACGCAGCAGTTGCAGCTGCTGAGCCGCCTGCACCTTGCGACCCTTGACAATGTACAGCCATTTGGGGCTCTCCGGATAGCACTTGAAGGGCGCATAGCAGAGGAGCACAAAGATGCCGTAGAGCGCCAGGGCCAGATGCCAGTAATCCGGTCCGCCCAGCACCGTTTGCAGGCTAAACACTTGGGCCACGACCACGCCCAGGGTCAAGCCGAGACCGCAGAGCGGCGCCAATTTGCTGCGTTGCTGCAGTGCAGCCAGCTCGCTGTGATACATGGACATGCAGGCGATGACCAGGCCAGCAGCCACGCCCGCCAGCAACCGGCCCAGACACAACAGCTCCACGGAGCGCAGCGGGCGACAGGCATAGAAGCAGATGGCGCCCAGGCCCAGCAGCAGACCGCAGATAAAGGCAGCGGGACGGCGACCAAATCGATTGGCTATCGAGGCGCCTGTCATGGAACCCACAGCGCCGCCGACTAGGAAGAGGGAGACTACAGTGGCCCATAGCAGATCCAGGGCGCCATCGCTTAACTGCAGATCGTAGCGCGCCAGTAGCGTCTCCTGGCACCAGGAGCGCATGTGCTGCGGGGGAAGAAGAGAGAAATGTGAAGAGAATGAAAAAGAAAGAGATAGGGAAAGAAAGATTTTAATTGGAAATGCATATCTAGACAAATGTATAACAGCAAGTCAAAACAGAAAGAAGCAATATCCATAAGTATAACTTTATTCCATTAAGAATATAAAACAATATACATAAAGAGTATATAACTGTGTATAATAGAAATGATTAGAAATACTAGAGGATGTCCATATACAAATTCAAGTAAAACATGTTTCCTATTAAGACCTTTAAGCATGACGAATATACAGAAAATCAATGTAGTAGTGTATAACAGTTAGTATAACAGAGATTATTACCGATGTAACGTCATAATTGCATAGAAAATGAATAGAAATGAAAATGATCTCAAAATGCTTTAAAGTGGCATACTGATATATGTATAATAGTTAGTATAACAAGCATTATAACAGATGCCAAGAATAGGAAAAATAATATAAAAAGGTCTTCAAACAGTTCGTAAACCAAGGACTATAAATAATGCTAAACTGATTATACAAAAGTAAATCAAAGTAGTTATAAATGATATATAAATATTTATAACAGTTAGAACAACACTTTATAGAACAGTGGCCAAATGATAGAAGAAAGGTGATATGGCATTATGATGCTGTGACTCGCAAATAACTGTTTACGTATTGAGCGTACGTAACGTTCTTCTGTTATAAACGGAAAAATGCATTCACACTCGCTTTCGCTCTGAGCCAGAGCATTCGTGTTTTTTCCGATTTCGTCTTCGTTTGAGCCATTTGTTCGACGCTCGTTTCGGGAGTGATATGAATTACACTCGCACAATGAAGCTCAGTAAGAGACGGATAATTTATACTCACGCGCCGTGGTGATGAGTAAAGATAACGGAAAAAACGAAAATCCGATCTCGTTGAAGGTCAGCTAAAAAGCCTTCGCACTCAGACTTTTCTCCCAAAGAGTGAGTGAAAAACATTTATTTGCGGGCTTTGGGAAACACTTGACGTAATGACAGAGCTCAGTCGTTATTTGGAGCACAAAAACTCCCACATATATAACAGCACTAAATGGATTTATAACAAGGTGTATAACAGTTGCCGAACTGAAGCTCTACTCACCACAGCTGGACTATTCACCACGCCCATACAGTAGCCCACAGGCAGAGTGGCACCCAGCGTAGTGCCATAGACAGCCAAATTCAGGGTCCAGCTCCATTTGGGCTGTTCCTGTATAACTCGAGTAGTGCAAGTGTTATACCCAACGGACCGAATTTGCTGTCTTAACAAACTCTTGGCGCTATCGTCTCCCATTGGCGCTGCGTCGCTTTCGTGAAGCTGATCCATTCGACAGCTGGCTTCCGTGTTGTGTGAACCTGCGGAGGCAGTGCTTCACTGGCCACTGGGCTGTAATTCATTTTGGAATCAGCATCAGAATATAGATAAGGGCGCACGATTACGAATCTGATAGCGTATGGCTTCTAAATGTAAATTTCTTTAATTGCTATCTAACTGCAGAATTGCCCGCACGGCCGCCCCACCATGCGTCATCTAATCAATATCACGATGCTTATGGATGAGGATGAGGCCGAATGACAACGACGCCGCCAAACGAATCACTGGAAGCCGCAATAAAACCAGCTACAGCCAACAGTTTGTCAACAATGAGTTTATCTTATATATAGAGATATATATCCATGTAGTAGTAGATAATATATATATGATTTTTCACACGCTGATCGTGCGAAAGATATTGAAGCCGCTGTGCGCCGTGGATAGCAGCACGCCCGGCAGCTGGGGATGCCAGTGCAGCTCCTTGATCTCCTTTTGGCCTTGATGTATGAAGAGCAGCTGCGGCGGCAGCTTGTTGATTTCCTCTTGATTCTCAGCCGGCGCTGACGCTTGATCCGCATCCGTTTCCACTGCCAGATCCCAGAGCGCAATCTGATCGTCATCGCCGCCGGAGGCAAGTACGGTGGCCTCGCTGGGATTCCATTCAACCGTGGTTATGTGATCCGTATGATGCTTGAATGTGGCAATTGGTTTTTGGGTCTTGAACTGGCGCAAGTCCCAGATGTGCAGGAAGCCATCGTCCCCGCCGCTGGCTATGAAGGGTTCCGTATGGTTCCACGAGATGACATTGATGTCGCTCTCGTGCGCATTCTCACAGGTAAGCATGCAGGCCTTTTGCGGCGCTGCACGGCAATCCCAAATGCGTATGGTCTTGTCCACCGAGCAGGAGGCGAGAACGCTGCGCTCATTGGGACTCCATTGCAGGTCTTCGACCGAGGCCGTGTGGCCGACCAACGGACGTTGATCCACCTTCCAGGTGCCATCCTCCAAGGGGCTCCATATGTGTACATCACGCCGACAGTCGCCTGTGGCCAACACGCCCTCAGCACTCGGGCTCCAATCGATGGCGAATCCCTCCTGCTGATGACCACTAAACGTATAAACGGGTTTCGTCTCATTGTTGGCGCTTTGCTGTTCGTATTGCTTGAGCAGCTGGGCATCTTCGACGGCCTGTAGCTGCTGTGACAAGTTCCAAATGTTCACGCGTCCCAATTCGCTCCACGAGGCAGCGAATACATTGTTGCCCAGGCGACGAGCGCGCACTCGATTCACACAGCCCTGATGCTTGATTAAGGCGCAGGTCATTTGCGGCTTCTTTAGTTCGCTCTTGTCCGCCACATCATCCTGATCGTCTTCCAGCTCCTCGTCGTCGTCATCGTCATCGTTTTCCTGTGTCTTGTGTAAATTGCTCATCTTCATCACAATCAAATTGTTGACATGTGTGCGCGCTGCCTGGGTGCCGGCTACAATATAGGCAGTCATTGGAAAGCTCTCTCTGCTTGCGCCCAGCTCATCAGGCACTATGTCGAAGCTGAGGCAAGGCGCTCCTGTCGATGCCTGATGCAGCATGACGTAGGCGCTCTCATCGCAAACGAGCTCCTCATCCTCGGCTAAGGTTTTGCCCGGCAAATAAACTTGTTTGGGAGCTTTTGGGGTGCCATCCGCATTCTCTTCGTTGTCACTATCGGGCTCCATGTCGCTTTCCGCATCCTCCGGCTCTACGACCTCCATATCAATCTCATCCTTGGGCGGGTCCATGACTATAAGTTCCAATTACTACTGATATGCCAAAAAAACTTCTTGTTTTGGCGCTGCACGTGTGTAATTCGTCCAGCAAACAGTGTGACCAGCACCAATACAGGCATTTAAAGCCGAATAAAAATACTAGATAATTTCTGTATTGCCTAATGTGACCAGCTCTAGAAAATTCAATAATATACCATTTGTAATAGGACAAGAGGATTTGATAGTCAACGCTCACACCTGGGACTGGAGTTCATTCTATGCCATCAGAAATATACTAGAATATTTCAGTGTATCATAGTGTGCCTGCTGTTATCAGTATTATTATTTGTTCACTCGTCTTGCGACAGCTAAACAGCACAACTGAAGTAATACGTTAAAGTATAACAAATTTTTTGATTTAAAATGGCTAAAGCTGGGAATCCATTTAATGTTCTGCGTAGCATCTACAACAATGAGTTCCAGTGGTAAGTAGCACTCGAGAAAACTATATTTCGGTACAATGTTTACATAACCAAACTTATTTCTCATTCTTTGCTTTTAGGATGTTGGTAAAAAGTTTTGGTATGTTCTTTCTGGGCGTTCGCATTGCCAAGGAATTTGTGGGCGTAGAATTGATGCCCGCTGTGTTGCCGGCTTAGTGTTTCCAAAAATGGCGAGAAAAAAACCAAATTCACTATGTACAAAAAACAAGATAGGGGGCAGTTAACTAATTATAATAAAAAACAGAGAGAACAGTATATACAAAACAGATTTTACTTTCTCTACTAGTTTCTGCTAACAATCAATTCCTTTATCTTCGACTCATCCATATCGATTTCATGTATCAGGCTATCCGCCAATATGCGCGGCGTCAGATCGCGCTGCAAGAAATTCGCCACCAGCTTTCGGCTGGGCACAGCGCCTCCATGCGCCAGGATCTCGGCACGATACTTCTCGCCTGCCTGCCGGTTGAAGGGATTCGCCTCGAAATACGTCTGCCATATCCAGGAGGCGATCGTTTTTGATATGAGATACGCATAATACTTGGCACCGTAGCCCACGAGATGGGAGAAGCGCAGCTGCCACGCCGTATTGTCCACATAGGGGAGGCCATAGTAACGATTCTGGACATCGCGCAGTGTTTCTGTCGTGCTCTTGCCCTGCTCGGCCGCCTCGCCGTGGTAGACCTGGTCGAGCGCCGAATAGAAGACCTGTAGCTGCGTCTCGCTAGCCGCGAACAGATGTTTCGAGGCGCACAGTCGCTGCAGCATGTCCTCCGAGATGGGTTTATGTGTCTGGAAGTGGCGGGCGAAGGTGCGCAGCACTCGAGGATCACTGGCAAAGTACTCCATCAATACGCTGGGAACCTCGGCAAAGTCGGTGGCACAACGTGTGCCCGTCACATGCTGATACTCGGTGCGCGCCAACATCGAGTGCATCGCATGGCCCATCTCGTGGAACAAATTGTCGAGGCGAGCGGGCGACAACAGCGTCGGTCCGGTCCACCGGGGCTGTGCCAGGCCCAGCATCACAACCACAATGGGCAGCTGATAGCTGCCGTCGGGCAAGCGTTTGCCACCCTGGATAGTGAAATGGCAATCCTGATTGGGCTTGCCCGCTCGCTCAAAGAAATCGCAATAGATATAGCCGAGCAGTCCTTCGCTCTCGTGCATCACGGCCAGCTTGTAGATGTCACTGTGCCAGCTCTCGCCGGGCTCCATTTCCGTGTTCTGCAGGCGGACGCCGTATAGCGCATGAAGCAAATTGTCCAATCCTTCCATGCAGCCGCCCAGTGGGAAATAGGGCAGAAATTCATTTGCTTGCTCCTCTAGCGATTGACGCTTCAACTGCGATGTAAAGTACGGCGTATCCCAGATCTCAACTAGCGCCGTGTTTTGTCCACTTTCTTTACGCTTCATTTGGGTCATTACAGCAAAATCGGCATCGGCACGCGGACGCAGTTGCTCCGACAGCTCATCAATGAATTCACGCACAAGTTCCGGCTTCTCCATGGTGCTGCCGTTCAGCGCACGATGCGCATAGGTTTCGAAGCCACAGCTCCGCGCCAGCTCATAGCGGCAGATTAAGAGATCCTTGAGTAGCTCCTCCTGACTATCAGAGGGCTGTAGATATAGCCGATAAGCGGCTTCCCGCATCTTTACATTCGATGCATTCGTGCAGAGGCCCGTGATGATGATATTGTCGCCAGATGTGGGAAAGCTGCCGGGAAAAAGATTAGTAAATGCTCAGAATTACACATGGCACTACTCCGCACTTACTAGTCTCTTATGTCCTCCGGCACACAGCTGCGCGGTAGCACCGTCGGTTGAGCGGCTCCGTTCATGAATTTCTGTCCCAGCTGGAGAATATAGTCATTCAAGCGTACCACGCGCAGCCGTTCCTTCTCGGGTAAATGGATGCCGCACTGCTCAAAGTCGAACAGAAACAACTTGGCCACATGGCGATCCACCTCGGTGGTGGGCATCAAGTCGCCATCGCAAACCACTTTACTGAGCGCTTGATACAGCGGCTTATGCGTATTCAGGCTCTCCACAACGCCGCAAATGCTAATGCAGGCCTGCTCGGCTGCCTGCATGTATTTGTTTTGCGGATGAGCTATGCGCACAAACTCGGCCAGATCGGCCACTTTGCACAACGAATCGGACAGCTCGTCGAAGATGTCCACCATCTTGCGTTTCCTCTCGCTGGATACGGCCTCTGCAATGAGCTCTTGCGTGGAGTTCTCGACATTTTCTCGCAGCAGATGAAAGCCATCGGCGTTGCGCAGTTCGGGCATAAGAAACAAACCCTGTCACAATAATAATCATATCACTAAGATCTGTATATTTTGCTTTAACTTTCTCTTTCACCTGGAGGAACTTACCACATCGTTGCGTGTGAAGTTAATTCGTTTGGTTGGCGGTGCATTGAAGGCTGTGCCCAGTGGCGACCAGGTGGAAAGCTGCCTGTGTTGCCGCCAACAATGCTGCCGCGCAGCTTTAGCTATATTATGGCCAATTTTATGCATTATTATTTTGATTCAATTTCAATTTACTGCCGACTATTACATATTCAGAGGCCAATCAGCTGTTTCGGCAAACATGCAGACAGAGGATGAGAGAGCGAGAAAACATATAAATACTTGACAAACCAAAATATGCCAAAAGGAAAAAATACCCAATAGAGCTGCCAGAACGTCACAAAACTCTATTTATACATTTACGAACAGCGATGTGGTCCCTACGAACTGAGCTACCAGACTGTTACATTACTGTGTATTAGAATCGGCGATGCCAGCTTGCTTCAATTTATTTAATTGTTCTTATTTAAATTTATTTATTTTTTTTATAATCATTTGAATTTATTTAGTTTAATATTTCAAGTATGTTGAAAAATAATGATATTTTTGTTTAGAAACTTGAATATGGTAAATTAAGTAGCTCTCAATGCATATAATGTAAATAGTAATAAGTAAAGAGATAACGACATATTGCTACTGCCCGAGAACTTTCTAACGGTTTTTTCAACCCAAGCCTCAACTTTGGAATAATTGACAAACTTCAACGCTTTGATGCCTTCACATTTCTGTGCCCCACCGATAATGCCCGTGAAATAAGTTTCGCAAATAATTGGGGAACCCAAATCACCGGGACAAACTTGTCCCTCAGCCTTCGGCTGTGCACATATGCTACTTTCTCTATCATAATTTTCCATTCCCTTACAGAAATCATGATCGCGTACTGCCACTTCCAGATACATCAATTCGTTGGCGTATGGACCATGCTAAATAGTCAATTTTCATATATATCATCATCAGAGTCAGTCGATCAGATAATCAATAGCTAGATAGATTATTACCGGATAGAGCTGACCCCAGCCCATGGTGATGCATAACATGCCACTGTAGATGCTGACCCACCTTCGTTTAATTATCGGCTTCACGTGTCGCGTATTGCCAGGAATTCGATCCGATAAGCGCAATAGAGCCACATCGTATTTCAAATAACGCTGATATTTTGGATGCACAGCAATCTGTGTGATGCGTCGACTGTCGTCCTTGTCATATCTATCCAAACGGCCTACAACCCCAAAGACGACCAGTAAGCCGCGTGGATTCATAATCGATTTATGACGGCTGTAAATTTAATATAAGAACATAATTATATGCATATATAGCTCTCTTTGCTGATTGCCTACTCTGTCACACAGTGAGCTGCAGTTAAGACGGTCTGACTGCTTAGAATGACTCCGGTGCAGAAGTGATTATCGCCATAGAATTTTATGTAACTCAATGTGCGTATTGAGACAATATTGCGTGCAAATTTGCCGTTATCGGGCACTACGCCACCTGCGATTAGCATCTGAAATTCATCATCCTTATTCCGGGTAAAGGTGCCGCGTTCCCCACTTTCCAAATCCAATTGGATAACCACCAATAGCCAAACAATTAAGATCTGATAGATATTCATTATTCATTGCTTCGACTGAGTCTCTAAAGGAATATTATAAATAAATACGAACAACTGGCATTTGTATCAAATGGTATGTGTACTAAAATCCAAAAATATATCACAGCATATAACTGTGCTATGATTTATAGTTTCGAAATATAACGAGTTTTCGATACCCTTTGTGCCGATCATTCAAATGGGCGGCTAAGCAAAATGGAGCTGTGGAGTTGCCAGTTAAATGCAAATAACTGGCAGTATTTAATTGCAAATAAGCACAAAGCATAATGAGGAAACATTACCTTTTTGAGTATCGATACATGATCTCGATATCTATTGCCAATGAGCAGTGCATTTGCCGGGATTTGATCGAGTGAACGCGAAGCTTGCGAGAAATTACAAATTTATATATATTGTGTGTTTTCTTTTATGAGTATAACATTTATTCGAGCAAGTTGCTCCCAACTACATATAGCAAATACTATGTGCCACAAATATCTAATACAAATCGAACTCTGGCATACAGTAAGTGTGGAACTTTTTTATATACATACACATGTACATATTGTATGTATGTACATATGCACAGCACATCTGTCTTAGATTTTGCTAGCACATGAGGCCGAGATTAAAACTACATAGTAACTTCAGTAACTAGTAATAGCTTCTGTGCGGCTAATTACGCCCACTGGGCGTTTACACAAAAAATATAGCACACACACACACGCACACATACATACACCATAATATATATAGAGAGGGAGAGACAGTGAGAGAGTATGGGTGGATAACTGTAATTTTGCTGATTCGTAAATTGCGGTTTCTGTGTGCGTTTGCCTCATTTACGTTTGGGCAGCTTGTAGTTCGTCGGCGGATGCAACTTGAGATGGTCCAGAAAAACTGGCTGCATATCCGCACACCACGAAATTTCCTCACGCGCACGCACCGGCCCATCCTTGCAGGTCAACCAATAGGTGCTCATTAATCCCTTGCCCTGCAGAGTAGAATCAAATTAGAAATGTGGATCACAATTATTTTCACGATATGCGGAATAGAAATAAAAGCGTTAGAGGTACATATGTATGGCATATTTATGAATAGACATTAGACATATAGGCATTATGTCGTAAAAAAAATATTCATATTCATATTGTATATATTGTATTATTTTCGCACTCCCAACAAATACGATAAAAATCGACTGCTCGAATATCGTAACAATATTTCAGCCCATAGCTTACCTTGACATCGATAAGACCCCGATGCTCGGTCTTGTAGCCGCCCACCTGTTGCAGAGCCTCGTGCATCTCCTCGGTGATATGTATCTTCTGTGCCTCGCCGGTGCTCTCCATGCGCGATGCCGTGTTCACCGTATCCCCGAATAGACAATATCTTGGCATTTTGGTGCCCACAATGCCGGCGACAACGGGTCCGGTGTGAACGCCGCAGCGGATCTGAACAAACTCGTCGCCGGCGCGTGGAATCCGAAACACAGACGAGGCGTCCAGCAAATCAAGTGCCATTGTTGCAATCTCGGTGATGTGCTTGTTGCCTGCGGGGGCGAACGAACCGAAACATATGTTTAGTATCTTTTTTTCTGCTACATTTTTTTGCTTTTTTTGGTAAGGGGACAGCATAAATTAAGGACGCACAAAGCCCAAAATTAGCGCACAAGTCTAAAACATGGGAATGGCAATGTTTGGCATGAAGGGAGCGGGGGATGTTTGACGGGGCGGCGCCGTGAGTTGGGTAAATGCCTGTTCGGATTGACAAGTTGACAATTTGCATGAATTACCGTTTTTCACGGGCAGCCCAGAGGCCACCATGTAGGAGTCGCCAATGGTTTCCACTTTGTAGACATCGTAGCATTCAATGCGCTCATCGAAAACGCGATAGATCGAATTGAGAAAGGTCACGACCTGTCGAATATATTTATACAGTTTACAGTTTACCGTCTCCATTAAGTTCTTTGATTTAATGGAGCTTACCTCCAGGGGTGTGCACTCGGCCGCTATTTCGGTGAAACCCACAATATCGCTAAAGTAAATGGTAACCGCTTCATAGAGCTCGGCGGGCACCTGACCGGGCACAATTTAATGAAATAGAAAGCCGTTAAAATTGAAATGCAAATACAGTAGAGACTCGCTATCGAAGACACGCAGGACCCATATAAATTGCGTGTTCAAGTAATATTAATAAATAATAAGTTATATGGAATTCTTACTCTACACACACACGCACACACACATACACATTCTCACCTGTTGCGTCTGCTTCAGCTGCATTGCGACGCTTGGCGGCAACATTTGAAAAAGCAGCGAATCACTTTTGCGTTTCTCACGCTTCAGCTCTTTGGCCTTCTGGGATAGATTCATGGCATAAAGCTAGCAAGGAAATCAATAATTATATTAATTCAGTACATCTACCATCTCTTTCTTACCTGTATAGTGGCTGCTGCATTCTTGACTAGTATGATTATAATGGGCGATACGAGCAGCACAACAACCAAAATGGCTATGCCAATGGCTTCCTTGCGGTCTGCTTCGACTAAAGTTTTATCTACATATTCTCTGCAACGAAAAGCAATTACTTAAAAATCTCTGCTTATAACTATGCTACACTTTGTCAGTTTCATATGCAAATAGGTTTCCATTTGTTGCTTATTATGCAAAATGGCGGCAAAGTAAAATGGAGTATCAGCATACCATTATCGATAGAAACCATATTCAGTATGCTGCACAGCTGCGGTGCTGCCATTTACATGCAAATTACATGCAGTATTTAATTGCAAATAAACATGTGCAAATGACTTGAGCAGTATTTAATTGCAAATCAAGAACAAAACAAAATGAGAAAAGATGACCATTTTGAGTACAATATCGATACATGATTTCGATAGCTGTTTGTCGCGTTCTGATCGAGTGAAAGTGAAATTTTGCAAATGTGTGTAAAAGTTTCTGTAAATGTGTGTTTAAAGGTATTTCCTCAACTTTTAGCTAATCACTTACTTAATTAGTCGGCGCAACGCTTTTTGTAGTATGCGCAAATCGTCCGTGTAGTTGTGCATAAACTCATTATATTCAACTGCGCTGCGCTCGTCCGAGATGTTTGGCTTATTCTTTAGGACCATGTTGCTCCTATTAATTATATATAAGTATATTAATGAATATAGTTAGTGTGCACATAGTACATTAAACGAATATCAATTAAAGCGCAATTATCATATGCCACTCACATGAGCTTAACGCGATGATATTTCTTGGAACTTGTGATATTAGTATACATGGGCTTCAGCATGGGCGCATAGTTCAAGGTGGAATTAATCATCTCTCGCGCCATAAACTCGTAACGCACATAGGATACGAAATTCTCAGCGGTGAGCGGCCCTCTGCCATAGTAGCGTATGCCAAAGGAGGTGGCTATATTCTGGCACTCAATGCTCTTTAATAGATTCTTAAAGCCCACCAAATAGCTGCAAGAGAAGTTTTTATTGTTCTGATTGGATGGGGGACGTGTGTGGACATGAGGGGGATGTGGTTAACGTACCGCCAAACGCCGCTGTTGTCCGTTTCTTTAATCTGCTCGTTTAGATGATGTAGCAGTCCCCGATTAATGGATGTATACCAATTCATAACTTCGGTTATGGAACTATCCTCTGGCTCTAAGCGCACACGTT